TGATCCTGGAGTCCCGGGATCGAGTCCCGCATCGGGCTCCCGGCTCGGCGGGGAGTCTGCTTCGCCCTTTGACCCTCTTCCCTCTCGTGCTCTCTGTCTCTCATTCTCTCTCTCAAATAAATAAATAAAATCTTTAAAAAAAAAAGAAAGAAATTTACTATCTTAGATAATCACTTTTAGAGTTGTTAATGCGGGGTTAATAGTCCTAATAATAAAATATTAAACTTTTATACTTTTATTTCTTTTTAGAACCTTGTAAAACATCTTCCTGAGCAGAAAGTACTCGGTGAATTAGCACAACTGAGGAGCGAATATGATCACCTCTGTGAGCCTGAGCAATTTGGAGTTGTGGTATGTATCTAGCATAAGGCCCACAAACTCAGCTGTGATGTAATAATTGTCAGAAACAGTGAAAAGGACATTTCAATTGTTGATTTTTTTCAAACTGCGTATCTACATAATTTTTTTTCAAACTGCATATCTACATAATTAATTATAACATTGTCAGGAAAAAATCCTTATTATTATTTGTAATGGTTTTGAAAAATAAAGAAATTTGGATTTATATTCTACAGAATACCTCAAGGTATCTCATGGCATCTCCTCCATACTAGTGCAGATATTTAATTCTATTAATATATGAAAAGTAGTATGTATTATTGTATTGGCTATTTTTTCTTTTATTTCGATCTTGATGTTAGAATTTGCCCCCTCCCCAATCTAGGCTAAATAAAAGAGTAGGAACTAGATAAATAGCAATATTTTATAAAACTTTTTTGTTATATACATATTGTGTTAGAGAAAGCACAAGAATTTTTAGGTTTCCTATAGAGTGTCATTAATTAATTGAAAACTTTAAATACAGTTTCAGTTGGGAAGAAAATCTCATAAATGCATATCATACTTTAGTATGATTAAATCGTTACTGGCATGAGTTATGTTTCCTCATCCCCTCTTCATTTTGAGGGGTACAAAAGATGACTAGATATAAATTATCTATTAAAGAATATAGTTATATGTTTTAAGCATTCCTCAAAACTGCTATTGAAATAATGGGCAAAAAAATGGGAAAGAAGGGATGGTGATTTATTTAATTTCTTGGAGGAAAAAAACCCCTTTTTAGCTTAGGTATTCAATACAAGTTTGTTCAGTGTATGGATGAGCAGCTGTACTATGGCTGCTAACTTTACCCTGGCTCCCTAACAATTTCACATCTGAATACGAAGACTCAAAATTAACATCGGAACTAGTAGTCAAATACTGTGTTTCGTTCAAATATATTACCTTTTCAATAGTAATATATTTTAATTTATCTGATTTGGTACGTTGCAATTTAAAAATCCTGTTTAAAATGAAAATGTAATAGATGGGACAGAGAACATTCCTTTTGAACATGTGCAATAGCTGCTTGCCCATATTCAGAGCTTATTAATACTCAGATATGGCATTGCATATACTGATATGGGAAGGTTCTGTCAAATCCTTGAAAAGAAAATCAGGAACGTATATTTGGGATGAGGTAGAGCTAGTATAAAGGTACCTGAGGAAGATATTTTTTCTTTTTTGAATTAGGCAAATTATTCAGTTGAATTGGCTAGATATTATTTATTAAATAGTGGTGTTTTAGTGCAATATTAAATAATAAAATTTTCTAGACCAAAGTCTTCATGTGAAACCTAAGCTGCTTGAATTCATACTATAATTGAAGCAAGGCTATATACTATCTGAGAATTCAGCTGTGTCGTGATGGTTATGAGTTTTACAGTAGGTACACTACACAGTTTCTCTGAAGTCATTTTTTTTTTCTGAATGCAGTTTATCTTGGAAGATGTATTAGTTTGCCAAGCAAATCCTTCAAGAGGAATATCCTTGGTGCCACAGTGAGGAAATGAAGTTTGGGGACATAAAAAGCAATATACCTTCCGAACTAAAAGCAAAACAGAAAATGGAAGAGATTTCTTGTTTATGCACATAACCATAAATAATTCTGGGGCTGTGACTATGAAGTCACTGGTCCTCTTATTTAACTCTCCCCATCCTTAGTTACATGTCTGTAGGGAAAAAAGTCAAGGACATTACAGAGTAGTTTGTGCTATGTAAATCACCCAAGGTAGTATCCATCAGGATTCGCCAAATAAAGTTTAGATAATCTCATATCTAGGAAAATATTTTGGAAATAATAATAGGCCCTAGTCTTTTAAGTACCTGCTATTTGTGTTGCCATTATTATTTATAGAGAAAATGTATTAGGGTGTTTAGAATAATATCTTATATATAATAGATAATAAATGTCTATTGAATTGAATTATAAGGCAATTATTAAACCCAAGTGTGAGCCTGAGATTAAACATAGCATATTTTAGATCTGTAAAGTAAAAATTATATTAAAACATATTTCTGCAGGTCAGTGCTAAAATTAAATTAATTTCAGTGTGAATACACTCAAAGACTTTTTAATCCTCAAAATCTATCGACAGCCTATATTTCAGAACATTTCAGAAATGTGTAGGATCATCTGCACTAATGAGAGAGGCTCCAAACTGGCTGTCTCGCTTCTGCTAATTGCCCCGTCAATACAATTAGTGTGTAGTCTACTTAAAATCTATATCCAACATGTGATTTCTACATTGAAAACCTTCAGTGTCTCCTGGAATTTATAGAATAAAACCTGAGCTCCTTAGTATGCTCATTGTGCCTCTAACTCTGTGGCTTTTTATCTGTCTGTTCTCTTTGATGAACCGAGTGAATTGGTATCTTTATGACATTTTGGCTTTTACCTCAGCGGGACTCTCATTGCCATTTCAGCAGTTATTTTACTTGTTCCTCTTCAGCAGCCTTTCATTTTCCATAGCAGCTATACTGTCTCTTACCTGCTCTCCTTAGGTCTTCTCTCCCTCCCCTTCCCATTCTTTTCACTTAATACCAACAGTGTAATCTCTTACTCACCAGAGAAAAAGGAAAAGCACTTAGGCTTTTAGAACCTCCAGTATCTCTTCTACCTACAAGGCTATCTCCAGACATACCTTTTATTAACCTATTCTCTGTCAAATCTCAGGAAAAGGGATACCTTATTATTATGACTAATATAATTGTTGTTGGTATTATTATTTATAGAAACAAAATGTATTAAAGAGTTACTGTATCTGATACCATGTTAAGCATTTTTACATGCACCATCTTAAATATTCTTCTTGACCCTATGAGGTTAGCACTTTTATCAGCTCCGTATTATGAATGAGGAAACCCCATCTAAGGAAGGCTAGGGACGTTGTCCCAAGGTTCAAAGTAAGTAGTAGATGCAGAATTCAAACCCAGGCAGTCTGACTTCATAGATGGTGTTTTTATTCCTTTTTTTATTTTAAAATTTTATTTTTATTGAAGAATAATTGACATACAGTATTATATTAGTTTTAGGTGTACAAGATAGTGATTTGATATTTATATACTTTACAAAATGGACACCACAGTAAGTCTAGTTACCATCTGTCACTATACAAAGTTATTACAATATTATTGACTATATTCCCTATGCTGTACATTACATCCCTGTGTCTTATGTATTTTATAACTGGAAGATTGTACTTCTTAATCTCCTTCAGCTGTTTCATTCATCCCTCCACTCCCCTCCCATTTGGCAACTACTAGTTTATTCTCTATATGTATGAGTCTGTCATTGTTTTGTTAGTTCAGTTTTTTTTTTTTTTTAGAATCCATGTGTAAGTGAAATCATACGGGATTTGCCTTTTTTTTACTTATTTCACTTAGTATAATACACTCAAGGTCCATCCATGTTGTTGCAAATGATAGGATTTCAGAGTAATATTATATTACACACACACACACACACACACACCATATCACACCTTCATTCATTTATTGATAGACATTTAGGTTGCTTCCATATCCTGGATATTATAAATAATTCTGTGATGAACATAAGGTGTATATATGTCTTTTCAAATTAGTGTTTTTGTTTTCTTCTAATAGATAAAGAGTGCTTTTAACTGCTATACTGTTCGGTTGTGTGTGTGTGTGTGTGTGTGTGTGTGCGCGCGCACGTGTGTGTGAGATGCTCTACTACATGCTAATGTACTTATCTCTGGGGCATTATCATGTCTCTTTTTCTAAGATTTTATTTATTTATGAAAGAATATGCACTTGCATGTGGGGAGGGGCAGAGGGAGAGAGAGAATCTCAAGCAGACTCCCCACTGAGCAGGGAGCCAGATGTGCAGCAGTGACCTGAGCAGACACCAAGAGTCCGATACTAAACCAACTGAGCCACCCAGGTACCCCTGGACATTATTATATCTTGCTTATTTTATACTTCTATTATTTTATGCCTCTTCAGTTTGTCATTCTGCACTTTGACTTTCTCTTCAGGACAAAAAAAAAAAAACTTAAGTAACTCACTGCCTAAAACTGAATAAATTGATAGCTGCATAGATGGATAAATAAAAATCATTTATTGACTCTGAGGTCCCTGAGAGCTGCTGCTCTCTATTTCCTAGCACCTGTTTTTTCAAAGATTAGTCCTCTTTTGCTTTTTAGTTCCTTACCTCTCATACACTATTCAACAAACAATAATTAGAATTCTCCCTTAAGCAGTGCATTGAAAATTATCTAAGAGAGGTCATTATTACTTCCTAATTGCATCTAAAATATACATCAGATCTCCTCTTCATCTGTGCCATTACCACCTTAGCCCAAGCCAACATCATCATTCTCTTTAACAATTATGATCTACTTGTAGCTTGTTTTCCGCACTCCTGCAAAAGCCTTTCTCCAAGTCATTCTCAGCACAGACCTCAAATGTGGCATTTCTGAGTTCATTTGTGTTGCATCATACATTTATCTGCTTAAAGCATCAGTGCTCTTGTATGGCACTAAGGCTGCAATATAAACTCCTCACCAGAATTTACCACCTCTCCCACTTCTCTCTCCTGTTGCTTGGCTTCTTGGTTATTATACTTCCACCACAGTATATTTTATTTTTCAGTGCTTTGAATTTACCAGGCTCTTTCCTGCCTCTGGCCCATTACACATGCTGCTGCTTCTTACTCTCACTTGCTGCCTGCCTCTTTCTTCTTAATTCTTCCACTTTTAGCTTAAAGTTCATTTTCCCAGTGATACCTTTACTTGCCTATCAATCAAAATTAAGGCTCTCTATTAAAATCCCACAGAGCACCTTTTTTTTTCTTTTCCTTTCTAGAGATTATCATGGTTCCTAGTTAAATATTTATTTCTGAGGTTGTTTATTGAATGTCTATAAACCCCCACTAGATTGCAACTTCAAGTGCATGCATCATGCTGATTTTATTCACATGGTATATGCTTAATATATATTTGCTG